GTCATGGTTTAGGGTTTAGGGGTAGGGGTTTAGGGTTTAGGGCTTAGGGTTTAGGATTTAGGGTTTAGGGTTTAGGGTTTAGGGGTTTAGGGTTTAGGGTTGGGTACTGCCCCCCCTCAGTAACAGTTGCATAGTAATTATACGATGGTTGTATATAGCCCTTATTAGGACCCCTGATATAGACTGTTACTGGGTGGGGGCAGTACCCAAGGCTTAGGGGCTTAGGGTTTAGGGCAGCTTGTGTTCATTGCTTTAGTCAGAGAGCTGCGATCTCCCTGCACTTCACGTGCCTCGGTTAGTATCTTGAGCAGCTGTAGCAGTGTAGCCACTATGGGCTAGTAGACCTTAAGGGTACCTTGATCTATCCTTAATGCGGTCCTAATAGGGAATTTTAGGGTCTAATAGCCCATGGTGTAGTACCTTTCTGGACCTGTGGTGTCCAGATCTTCTGTTTTCGCGCCCTTTGCGTCGGTTAGTTGCTTTGGTGTGCCTAGGCGATTATGGGGTCACTGCTTCCCAAATCATGTGGTTGCAGCTGCCTGTCAAAATTTAGAAGGGACCAGCAGGTTGCCAAAAAAAGCCCGAAAAAGAATTAAGCTCGAGAAAGGAAGCAAACCCCATTTCAGCACATGCACAAGAAAAAGTGAGGAGGCCGCCAAATTCCATCAGATGTTTTTTGCACAGCTGGCGGCATTCAGGATGGGACCCACGTCTGCGGGCCCAAAAAAGGCATGTCCAAAAGACTTGAACCAAGCAAAACAAGTGACTAGGATGTAGAGTTTGAGGCTTGGTGTCTAGGATCTAGGTTTTAGAGAGTTTTCGGAGTTTTCGGTTTGGGGCGTATAGCTTCTGCTGCGCGACTTCAATCAACGACGACGGCGCGTGATTTGGTCCCACCTCAATCAATCCATGATCCCGTAGTCGCAAGTTTTGTGCCGAAAGAGGAGTGCTCAAACTGGGCTGCCGTCAAGGAACTTAATTTAAATCCTCATAATATGGGTATATAGAAAATAAGAGGCTTTCCTTTGTATAGTATCTTGGTTCATGCTCCTTAAAAGCAACCCAGTATTTTTCCAAGCTCTGTTGATCCAAGTCTACAAACAGGAGGGATTACACAGGGATCATTTTCCCTTATTCCCAACTAACCACCCCTAAACCCTAAACCCTTGAGTCTGAAGGGGGAGGCCCTCACTTTCAAGCAAACAAATGATGAACTGGTTCTTAGTAGGGAATATGGGAATATAGTCCCTATCTGAGCTATAGCTATAGTCTAAACTCCCTAAACCGGGGTCATATAGGGGGTTATACAGGGGAGTATTACAGCATCATTTCTCGGGGTTACCAAGGGGGATACTAAGAGTTTAGACTATGGCTCATATAGTTCCTATGTAATGGGTTCCCATATATCCTACTACCGACCAGTAAGAAAAAAAGAGCTGGCAGCTAGCATTTTGAAAAGGCACCCTAAGCCCTACACCTTAAACGCTACACCCGAAATCCTAAACCCCTAAACCCTAAACCTCTAAACCCTAAACCCTAACCCCCTACACCCTAAACCCTCAACCTCTCCAAACCGAAAGTCAGCACCCTGAGACTTACTTCGACACACCAGGACTACACTTTTGGCTGACTGTTGTTTACTGGTTTAGTGGCTTTAGGGCTCAGGGTTTAGGGTTTAGGGTTTAGGGGTTTAGGGGTTTAGGGTTTAGGGGTTCAAGGGTTCAGGGGTTTAGGGGTTTAGGGTTTAGGGGTTCTGGGTTTAGGGTTTACTGTTGTTTACTGGTGGTTAGTATATAGGGACTAAGGGAAGATAATCCCTATAGAATAGATTCCCTTCTTCCCCCACGAACCACTGTAAGGTTTTCATCATTTTGGGTAGCCCAGCTCTCCAGCTAGACCCTAAACCCTAAACCCTAAACCGCCTAAGAACCGGGTCCTATCACGAGGTCATTGCATCTGACGCTGCAAGGTCAGTGGTGGGTTCCAGACTCAGACTTGGGTTTCCCAAAATTTTGGGTACATTTTAAGGGAATATACGGGTTGTACACGGGTATATAGGATAAATAGTGGTTTTCTCAAAATTAGGTGTACGTACTTTTGGGTGTCCCTATAATAAGGATTAGATTTTTTTCGGATCTAAATTAGGGTCCTCCTGTTTTGGGAAACTAGTAAGTGGGGATATACTGTAAGTCCCCGGAAGGAAGATATGACTCAACTCTTGTTACGCTAGGGTTTAGATACCATCGAATGCTTTTTCTACGACCCAGCCAGAGCATGTGCAGGCCACCTAACACGCGAAGCTTACACCCTGAGCATAAAAACCTAAACTGCAAACCCTGAATCCTAGCCTAAACCTTTTGGGGTTATTAAGGGGGGGTACTAGGACTTTAGACTATGGCTCATATTGCGCACAGGTGGTGTGCATTCCCAGGGTACTGCCCCCACCCAGTAACAATTCGTAATCGGATTACAACAATATTAAGGGCCAGATAAAACCACGATATCTGTACTATCTGATTGTTACTGGGCGGGGCAGTACCTAAGGCATTCCCATTGTTCAGGTTGGTCTTTATGCATAGACCTACTTGGAGGTTCATGGGACTTAGTAACTTATCACTGGGCTTATAACCCTACTTATAATCCCTTCAAATGACCGTATTAGGGTTATAAGCCCGGTTAAACGTTGCTACTAAGTCCCATGAGCCTCCAAGTAGTCTGGTCCCTCAAATTCCCAGACCATGAACCTAGAGACCCAAGTTTATCCGGGGCAAATTACACAAACCTTGCCCGACCCCACCCCACGTAGTTGTTGATATAGAAGATGGTCCCAGCCTTGTTCAGTATCTAGGTTCTGGACTTACATGGAAGAGCAATTTGTAGATTCGCTTCGCGTGGGTTTCTTGGCTTAAGCCCTGAACCCAAGATGAACATCATGGGGTCCGTGGGTTGGACTCAGAATCACGGAAAGGGTAGCTCCCGTAAATAGGGAGACTCCAGTATAGACCCCAATACTAGCATCCTTACCATGAGGAACCCCCAAAAGCAACCTTACTTTAATATTCTGCAAACCACTAAATCCTCATAATCCTAGTTGTGGCTTCCTAAAATGCAAGCCAGGGGAGCTATAGGCGAACCCAGGACCCGAAGCACTACCCCCCTAGACCGTCAACGCATCCAACAACCCAAGTTTCGCAGAGCGCCATGTGAGCTACAGTCTGAAATCCTTGAAGGGGGGTTATATGGGGGAATGTCTAGGCGAGTATTATACGGGTTCTTCAGGGGGATGCTAGGAGTTAAGACCCTAAACCCTAAACCCTGAAAGACTGCAAACCCGGAGCCCAAAACTCTCAGCCCTAAACCTTAAGCCATGTAGGGTTTAGGCTTTAGGGTTTAGGGTGTGGGGTTTAGGCTTTAGGGTTTAGGGTTTAGGGTGTGGGGTTTAGGGTTTAGGGACCCCCCAAGTACCCTGAAATAGTGTCTATGTAGGTCCTACTTTTGGGTGCTTAGGGTCTATAGTGCGCACTCAGGGGTTCTAGATGCACCCTAAACCTTGAAAAATCCTAAATCCCAAACTTTAAGCCCACGACCCCAAATCCTACAGGTCCTAAGCTCTTCATATACTCTTCACCCTGTCTTCGCCGGATGCCCTAAACCTTAAACCCTAAACCCTAAACCCCTAAACCCTAAACCCCTAAACTCCTAAACCCTTGAACCCTAAACCCTAAAACCCTAAAACCCTAAAGCCCTAAAACCCTTAACCCTAAACCCCGAAACCCTAAAACCTTAAACCCCTAAACCCTAAACCCTAAAACCCTAAAACCCTAAACCCTAAACCCCTAAACCCTGAACTCCTAAAACCAAAAACCCTAAAACTTCAATTGCCGAGCCGCAGGTTCAGGAGCTTTCGCGAGCCTATCCTGGCTGGTCAGCAACATTAGCTGCTGTGGATGTTGGGGTTCGTTTGGGTTTAGGATTTAGGGATTAGGGTCTAGGGTTTAGGGTGTAGGGTTTAGGATTTAGGGTTTAGGGTCCAGGATTTGGGGTTTAGGGTCTAGGGTTTAGTGTTTAGGGTTTAGGGTCTAGGGTTTAGTGTTTAGGATTTAGGGGGTGTTGGGGTTTGAGGGGATTTTGCGTGAGGCTTTTGGAGCATTCAGCTTTCTTGGGGTTTGGGCTTTTGACGTTTGGGGTTCAGGGGTTGCATGGTGCTTGGGTTTAGCGCCACAGCTCCACATATCAGGGGTGAAAGCTCTTTGCTGCCTTTATGTTGGCAGTTTGCAGCTTATGGAGCATCGGTACGGAGGCTCTAGGCCCTCAGATGTTTTTGCTGCTATTTCGGTTACTCAGTTTAGGGTCTAGGGTTTAGGGTTTTACTACGTTCACGAAGATATCTTTGATGAGTATTTTCAATACGGTCATTAACCATTACTATTACTACTGTGAGTATAACCTACATTCACCATTAAGGCGCCGCCGTAGGGAAGTCTCGATCCACTGGCGTCCAGGCTCTTGTTGCTCAGTAGTGGGTGGGCTAAGCTGGAACCTTCTTGGGTTACATGTAACCCTACCAAAACTAAAAGGCTAACCCACCAAACCCTAAACCCGATATAGTCTCCTATATAAGTTGGGAGTTCAGGGCCAACGCTCAAGGGTTGGAAGTGTGCATCCTAAACTTCCCAAATTCTGAACCTTACTTCCCACAAACCCTATACACCCTAAACCCTGAAGCCTAAATTCTTAATCCTAATTCCCACAGACCCTGAAATCTAAAACTTTGCGTCCAAAACGGGCGCGCTTTACAAAGCATAATTCTTAACATAGTAATATAGTAACAGTAGAAATATACTAATATAGTAATATAGTAATGAAATACTATAGAAATATCGTAATAATAGTACGGTAGTAGAACGGTCCGGCCCAGCCTTTCTTCGGCTTGCCTAGGTTCCTCCGCAGCGTAGACCTTTGCACTTAGAAATCAAGGTTTGGGGTAATATAATATAGTCTGATATAACATAATATAATATGCGATTAAAAATAATGGTAGAATGTAATATAATATGCTGTGAGATAGTATGATATATTGTAATATAATTCAATATAGTACAGTTTTATATATGGAAAATGTGAATCTAGCGAGAAAAGAATCGGCTGCAATCCCTGCAACCCTCGTCACGAAGCAGATGCCGAGCACATGTCCCATGATCCGACCTTTTTGCGTGGGCACGGGCTTCTTGGCGAGAGCTCTGTGGGAACGGGCCTGAACCCTAAACCTTAAACCCTAACTCTAGCAGACCTCAGTTCAATTTTGCGTCGTCTCAGGGTCCAAGGACTCAAAAAGTGGGGTAGTAGGGCCCAAATACTTCAATCTGAATGGTATTTGAGACCTAAAGCCCTACTATTTGGGTCCTTGGACCCTTAGGGGCATACACACATCAACATCCCAAGTCTCAACAGCCACTCCGGGGGCTTGCTACTTCCCTAAACCCTAAACCCTAGACCCTAAACCCTAAACCCTCAGCAGCAGCCCTAATCTCTCAAATGGGCGTCTTTTAAATGATCCCCCGTCCTTGTTTTGTGATCTTTCAAGAGCCCCTACATGCCCACAGGGCACCTCGGGTAGTGCAGGAGCCCGAACAGGTACCAATATGATATCATAATTATAATCCCCTCGTACGAATACAAAATACCCCCCCCCGCCCCACCCTGAACATTAAATATGGCCCCACTATGTAAGGTCTCTTATGGAGTGATATTTAATGTCAGGGGTCAGGGGGTGGGGGGATGTTTAAAATCAGCGTATGGCGACTACAATAGTAAAAGCATAGAGTATAATTGTAAACGCTAGCGCGCGCCCGCCTCGGCTGGCCGGGCTTCCCACTGTAGGAACATGTAATTATAGATATACAGGTA